CTGACCCCACGACTGGCCCCGACTGGCCCACGACTGGCCCACGACTGGCCCCGACTGTGCCCCACGACTGACCCCACGACTGACCCCACGACTGGCCCAGACTGGCCCCGACTGGCCCCAGCACTTGTCACCGTATCGTGAGACAGGTTCCTGCTCACTGCCCAGGGGCCATGGCCTGTCCCTGGCCCAGCCACCAGGCGCTCTTCCTCCTGAGCAGGTTTCCGGGAGGTACCGCCTGCCCCTCCTGACCCGCAGCCCTTGGTCTGTCCTCTTTCTCCGCCTGCTGAGGGTCTGGCACAGGTCTGGGAGGGCTTTAGAAATGTCACCTCTCCTTTCTCTTCCTGTTTCGTCCCTTGAGGGCTTTGGGAAGGGGACCCTCCACACAGACTCCCTCCTTTCTTCTTCTTCTGCCTTTCTGGGTGCTGCGGAGCTCTGGAGACGGGGCCCACCCCCAGCCCCGTTTTGCTTTATTTTGAGACCGGGCCTCACTAAGTTGCTCAGGGCCTTGCTAAGTTGCTGAGGCCGGCCTTGAACTTGCGATCCTCCGGCCTCAGCCTCCTGAGTGGCTGGCTACCATGGATGGTCATGAAGATGGATGAATTGGCCAAGAGTGGTGGGGCACGCCTGTAGCCCCAGCTATTAGGGAGGCTGAAGGCAGAGGGATCGCAAGTTGGAGGCCAGCCTCATCTACTTAATGAGAATGACTCAACAATAAAATGGAAAGGGCAGGGGGCGGCTCACGCGACAGCTCCTCCTGGCATGCGGGAGGCAACAGCCCCAGCCCAGAGCAGAGCAAGACAAAACCCCAGCGAGATCCCGGACAGACGGACGGAAACCGGAAACCGGCTGGAGCCGGGGCTGGCTCGGAGGCCTGGCGGTTTCCCTCTCTGTGCCAGCCGAGCCCAGAGCCCAGGGCCACGGGCTCGGGAAGAGCTCTGAATGAGGGCTGCGGCCCGGCTGTCAGGCCAGGCGCCCGCGGCCCTCCGCGCTCTCTCACCCCCGGCCCGAGTCCTGCCACCGGAGGGGACTTCCAGTGCCACGGCCACTTCTTAGACCACTTTCTGGAATCGCAGGGACTGACCGCCCTCAGGGGGCTGGGCATTCGCAGGCGAGCGGCCCCAGACCCACCCTTCTCCACCAGGCCTTGGGGACAGAAACTGGCCTTGAACTGTGCGGGCAGCTGGTGCCGGTTTCCAGGCTGATGGACAAACACTGGTGTCCAGGTTCAAATTCCAGGAAACACACGCCGGCGCGCAGCCCCGAGCCTGGGAGAAGACCCGAGGGGGGGTCCCTCGCGGCCCAGGGGAGGTGGGCCGCGCCCTGGAGACAGCGGGGCCTTGGTGAATGTCCCAGAGAGGCTGGAACCCAGAATGCTGGGGTCCGTCCCAACTCTGGCACTGGCTGGGGGGGGGGGTCCGGCAGCTCCCAGCCCCTCTCGGGCGGGGCCTCAGCTGCAAAACTGGGGGAAGCTGGCAGAGTTCTCTTCACACGGGGAGGCAGGGGCTCCACAGCTCACCCAGAACTGCTCTTTTCCTGTTCTGTGGATCGGCACTCTGGGTGAGACAGTGTTGGAGGGAAAAATCCTGAGGGTCTATGGCCTGAGAGACAAGGTCCGGGCCATCCAGAACGCTCCTGGTGGCTGAGCATGGACTTGGAGACAGATGTCCGGTTTCAAATCCCATTGCTAGCTGTGTGATCTTGGACAACGTGCTTAACCTCTCTGGGCCTCCATTGCCAAATCTATAAAGTGGAGCTGATCATATTTCCCTGACAGGGCTGTTGGGAGAACAGTGTCTGCTGGACCCTGTGACTGTTTGTTGGATTGCAAGTTCAAGGCCAGCCTGGGCAACTCAGCGAGACCTCTGTCTCAAAATATAAAAATAAAAATGGGCTGGGGATGCACTTCAGTGGTAGCGCAGCCCTGGGCTCAAGCCCCAGTACCACAGAGCAAGCCAGCAACATGCCGGCTTGCACTTGACCCCTGAGGCCTGCACAAGGACCACTGGACTCAGCATTCAGGTCAGCACCCCATCTGGAGAACAGCAGCTAATGGGGCTCACTCGGCAGGCGGGGACAGGCTCAGCCCGCGTCTGCCTGGGCTGTTCTCCTGGGCCAGGTGAAGATGGAGGCCGACTGCCTGCTGTCTTAGACCTCCTCCCTGGGTCGGAAGCAGGTCTCAGGCAGTCCTGGGAATAAGCATGGGGTGCCCAGTTCCCCGTGAGCTTCAGATAAACCAGAAGCAAATGTCAAGTTTAAGACTATGCCAGGCAACCACACTGGGGACACATTACGATTCTGCTGCATGGAGGGTGTATTTTACTAAGCAATCGTTTGACGTTTATCTGAAATTCGAATTTACCTGGGTGCCCTGTATGCAGCAGCCCTACCTGAGGCCTCCCTCTGCCCCATTTCAGCTCCAATTTGGCAGCAGCAGAAGCAAAGCCTTTGGCCATGAGCAGGGCCAGGACCGGGCGTCGGGTCTGGGGACAGGGTGGACCTGCACCACCCCAGCAAGCCTCTGTCCTGCTGGCTCGGTTTCCGGTCTTCCGCAAAAGTCTGCCGCCTGAGTCTGCTGAGAAGGGATTGTGCGATGTGTGGGGAGCATGTTTTGGAAATGGAAAGGTGTTTTGGAAACACTGGTTTCCAGATTTGGTTGTTAATGGGCAACACAGACCAGTCAGTGGAGGCTGCTTCTGGCAACTGGATTCCTTTTTTGAAAATTAGTTTTTTAAACTAGCAATTTGTGTTTGTGCATGAAACATAAGAAACCAGGGGGGGAATCCCCGATTCCATCACTTGGAGACAACTGTTTGCAGCATTCTTGAGAAAGGTGGCGCTTTTTTCTGTATCTCCAGGTGTGCGTGTGCTTCCCTTCTTCTCAACGAGGACACAGGCTCCCTTCTACCTTCTCTTAGGACGCCCGCTTTCCTCTCCGTCCGCTGAGTGTCGTTGTGGGCCTCTCTGCTGGTGGGAAGACGGGAGCCCACTGCGGGGGGTACCCACTGGGGCAGACGCTGAGGCAGGGGCCACTGACTTCCAGGGTTCTCAGGGAGGGACTGAGAAGGGACTCTGTGGTCACCGGCCACAAAGAAGCGAGGCACCTCCTGCCCTGCTGGGGCTGGACCAGGCAAGGCCACAGCACAGCGCCACGGGGCCCACCCCGGCCCCTGGGGGCCCAAGGTGCCCTCCTGGGCGCAGTCACCTCCCAGATCTGGAGGCCCACTTTCCAGACGGGGAGGGGAGCCGAGCGCAGAGGTGACTTGCCCCAGGCGCAGGGCCGTCTTTACGGAACTGAGCTGCGGGCGGGAGGGCGGCGCGGGACGCGGCCTGGGGCTGGGGGCTCCGCGGGGTCTGCAGGGGGCCGGCGGGGGGCGGGGTGCCAGGGGCACAGGGTCGGGACTCGCGCCGGGGCAGAATCGGACGCGGGAGAACCAGGACCCGCGAGTGGGGGTCTCGGAGGTCCGCGCGAGGGCATCTGGGGTGCAACGGGGGGGGGGGTTCGACTGGCTGCGACCTGGGGGTGTCGCCAGAGCAGTGAGCTATCGGAGGGCTCAGGGAAGGGCCTGTGGTGCGGACAGGGGTGCGGGGAGCGTGTCGGTGCGGAGATGGGTGCGAGGGCCCACCCGCGCCGCAGCTGTGCGACAGGGACCCTGGCGGGGCGGCTCCTGGCGGCGCGCGGAGGCGGGAGAAGCCGGAAGCCGGCGAGCGCCCTAGCCCCGCCCCGCCCCGCCCCGACAGGGCCCGCCCACATCAGGCCCCGCCCACAAACAGGCCCCGCCCACAAACAGGCCCCGCCCCGCCCTCCTCCCGCGCGCCCTCCTCCCGGCCGACCGCGCGCCAGCTCAGAGCTCCCGGCTCCTCGGCGGTGCAGGCGGTGAGTGCGGCGCGGGCGGGGAGCCGGGCGCGGGGGCAGCGGGCGGGGGCGGGGTCCCCGCGGCGGCCGCACCTGCCAGGAGCCCCGGGGCGCGGCGCCGTCGGTGGCCGGCTGCCCGAGGGTCGCGGGGCGCGTGTGGGATCGAGCCGGTGGGGGACGCGGGGGTCGGCCGCGCGGGGTCCGGCTCCCCCGCCACGGTCCGTGGTGTCCCGAGTTGGGCTGGGGCCCGGCGGCCCGGAGCGCGGCGAGCGGCCCCCCGAGGGCGCGCCCTGCCGGCCCCGTGCCCCTCTCCCGAGAGGAAGCCCCGGGGCCTTTCAGGAAAAGGCGCGATTGGCCGTCGGGGCGCGGACTCGGAGAGAAAAGCCAACCGGAACCGGCGGGTTTCCCACGCCCGGGACTTCTCGGCCGGCCGGCTTCCGCGCCCGAGGGCCGTGTGCCCGCAGACCCCTCCTGGCGGGGCCATCTGAACGCGCCCAGCGCCGCCCACCGCCCCGGGGTAGATGCTGGTGGGACCGGAGGGGCACAGGTTGTCAGGTCACCAGCTGTCCTCCCCTCTGGCTTCCAGGTCAGCGTGGATCTGGGTAGTTTGTGTTCTACTCGCAGCTCCTAAGGGTCAGGGGGGAGGCGAGGGGGACAAGGAAGGGCCGTGCTTCAGGGGTCAGGCCGCTGGACCTTTGCCCAGTCCTCTGGCTTCCTCATTTTTCCGGATCATGGAGCTGATGTCATTGACTGTTGGATCAAGCTGTCGTCGTTGGGAAATCCACTTTCAGGAAGCTGCCCACAAGGGGTACATCCTTCCCCTCGGTGGGGAGTTGGCTTCCTGGAACCCAGGTTGGGTCCTTTTCAGTAAAATGATGATTTGCATGACGGCGAGCCCAGCCCCTCCCCTGCCCTCACCCTCGGCCCAGCCTTCTCAGAGTGGTATTTTAAAAACAGGACCAACCCAGGGCCTGCACCCAAGGTGGTATGTGGAATGACTCCCGTGTTTGGTTTTATCAGGTTGGATCAGGATCCAGAGGGCATCTGATTGCCTTACCTGTCATGGAGTGCCACCCCTTGGCCTGTCACCTAAATGTGGACCCAAGTCTCCAAGAAACGTTTATTGTAGTTCACCTTGGGAGAGGCCCATCTTTCTCTTTCCTGTTACTTGAAGGCATTAATAATGGATGCTTTCATTCACATTTGAAAAAGTGTCTTGTTGTAATGTTTTCGTGGATTAAGTGACTCAGTGATTGATCTAAGATGTAGGATCAATTTCTTAAGTCTCTGAGACACTAGATTGAAGTAATTCCCTGTTGTTGGCAAACACATTTCCCTTTGTTCTTCCTCTCATGGCTTTCCTGAGCTGGCCATGGGGAAGTAGAAAGTGCTCGGTGCACAGTGCTCCTGGGAGGTTCCTGGTCCTGAAGCTCAGGCCAGGGATGGAAGGTAGGAGTGCACTGAAGATCCAGGGCTCGAGGAGAGGAGGGAGGGGGGGAGGTTTCTTCCTGGTGGGTCTGAACCTGTGTGCACTTGGTTCAAAGAAGCAGAAGAGTCTCAGCAAAGCTGCAGAGGAGCTGCCCACCAGCCCAGGGTCAAAGACAGTAAAAGGGGAACCCTCACAGAGGAGGGAGCTGGGAGCCATTTCCAGGCTAAATTAATTTTCAAGATGGACCGGGCTTGCTCTGCTGCCGATAATCCAGTCCTCCTTGCTGCCCGAGGAATGAGTGATGCTGCTTTGAAATTGGGCTGCTGCTTCTCGGGGACTTCAGATTCTCCCTGAAGAAGAGCTTTCCCCCAAGCCCCAGTGAGGGTGCAGAGAAAGGGATCCCTGAGAGGAAGTCCTGAGAGTCCTGGCACTGTGCCTTGTCCTGTGTTTGGTTTTGCTGTGGCTGCCACGAAGGTACCCAGGGAGCCCGGTGGTCTCAGGCAGACAGATGTCCTTAGCCCTGCTTCTTGGGGTTTCCGGAGCCGTTGGCCACCCGTTGGTATTTACTTGCTGCAGAAAGTTATTTGAGGTCAAGTGGCACTTTGGTGGGTCGTCATGATTTCATTTTCTTGTTTGAGCTGGCATCGAGTGACACTGGGCAGGGGCCACAGCAGCTTTGGAGCTAATGAAGATGACCCTTGGCTGCAGGTCCCTTCAGTAGAAGAACTCTGTCTAATTGCTTTGGGCTTCGGCCTCCCCATCCTAAGGGGACAGAAGACAAGTTAGAGAAAGCATCACAGGTTCATGGATCAAAACTTTATGTGACAGGAGGCTTCTGAAGTCCAGAACCAAAGACCCAGGGATGACTGTCCGTTTTTGTGCTTATATTGGAGGAGAGATGGACAGGTTCGCAGGAACATGACTGGACAGGGGGTCCTAGCATCTCTTGGCAGACGGGAGGCGGGGGATTCCTGTCTGGCCAGCTCTTTGCAGGTTGGGAAGGTGATAGTGGTGTCCTAGGTCGTAGGGTGGCTGGCTTTGGGGGAGGGGTCTGGTTTCCCTGACCCACCTTGGGGACCTGCCTGGTGTGGGGGGAGCTGAGGAAGGACTGGACACTGGGCCTGGAGGGGAGAGACTGTGTTGCAGGCCCCTCCCCTGTCCTTCAGGCCGAAGTCCACAGCAGGTCTGTGTGCCACGCCTTCCTGGCAGAAGGGGAGGGGTGCTAGAGATAGTGTCTGGGTGGTGACGGTTCTCTGTTCACTGTCCCTCGGGGAGTTCATTCATTAGGATCCAGAGCCTGAGGCTTCAGGGAGAATAATGATGAGAATTCAAGCTATTTAGCTCCAGGAGCCTTAGAATTGAAAGTGTTCTGGGGTAGAGAGCTTCATGTTGACTGTCTTAGGTCTTAACGCTGAACCCAGCAAGATCAAGATCATTCCTAGTTTTTTTTTGGTGGTAGTGCAGGTTGAACCCCGGGGTGCTCTACCACTGAGCTGCACCCCCATCCCTTTTTATTTTGAGACAGGGTCTTCCTAAGTTGCCCAGGCTGGCCTTAAACTGGCAATCCTCCTGTTTCAGCTTCCTGAGACCCTGGAATCACAGGCATGTGCCACCATTCCCGGCCCCAGGCTTCATGTACCAATATTAAAAAAAAAAAAAAAAAAAATCACATTTAAAACTCAGGAGGCTGAGGCAGGAGGTGGGCAAGGTCACGGCCTGGGCAACTTTGGGAGACCTTGTCTCAAAAGAAAATGAGAAAGGCCGGGGAAGTAGCTCAGTGGTAGAAGATGACTCTGGCATGCTCAAGCCCTGGTGGGAACAATCCAGAAATATTCCCCCAAGTGTGGAAGGAACAGAGGAAAGTCAAGCCTACTCTCACCACGTGCATGAGACGGCACCGCTCCCTTATTGGGTGGCTTCTGCCTTTTGTCTCTGTGCTTGTTTTCCATGTAACTGTCACCAGGGTATGCAGGGTCGTACCGCTGCAGGCTGACTCATGTTTCATCAGAAGCCATCATCTACGTGCAAAGGGGGGTGTGGTTTCACCAGGAATCCAGAGGGAAGCGGCCCACTCGGATTGTAGGAGCAGCTCCGTGGCCCCGGTTTCCACTCCACAGATCAGGGTGATCTGTAGTTGGGCCACGCTGGAGCCCGGCTTTAAGCTTGGCCCTGCAGAAAGGCACCGAATTCCGAATTCTCTGAAGGATTTCACTGTGAGGTCCATGTTTTTGCCATCGATACTGAATTTGAATCTGTTTAGGGTCAGGTAAGCAGTGTCTCTCTCCCTTCCCCAGAGAAGACAGGCAGCCCCATTTCCCCTTGGTGTTGGTCCTTCCTCCTTCTCCTTCAGGGTCAGTGTCTTTCACTCCCTGGACGTCCCTGGAACCAGACGCAGGTTGAATTCCATTGCAGAAATCTGTGTGTTTTCGAGATCACCAGCCAGCGGCCCTGGGCTGGAGAATTTTAGACCCTGTTTGATTTCACTCTGCACACTATGGAGATGCCCAGGGTTCATCCTAGCCGGGATCCATCTGCTCACACTGTTGTAAGAACTTGCTTCTCCCTGAAAGATCCTGAAAGACCAGACCTTGGTGGCCTCCCCAGCGTCCTCCTCCTTGTTTACAAACGAGGCTGTTTTCTGAGCGCTGACCGCTTGCCTGGGGGTGTCTTCCTTTTGCCCAGGGCCTCCCTCTCCTGGGGTCATGCCTGTCATCTGCATATTCATGGACTCTGCCTGGGGTTTCTTTTCTGGGGCTGGGGGGGCAGCAGGGCCCAGTGGAATTGAGTCATTCTTTTTCTTTCTGGAAGAATTGATCTTAGAGGATTAGGTTGGTGGTTAAAAAGCTGCTTTACTTCCCCGAAGGCCTTGGCCTTTTTGTGTGTTGATCTGATACCTGAATCTAGAAAGCATTTACCACCCACATGTGGCCACAGCCACTTTGTGGGGGTTTTGACTGAGAGTTTGTGGGGGAACGGAAATGGGTGATGTCCCCAGCTTTGGAGGGTCCTTGGAAACCCTGCCTTTTGGCTGAAATTCTGGGTTTTCTTTTTCTTTCTTTTTTTTTTACTTCCTCAATTACAAAAGTTAGAATCCTTCCCTTCCTCCCCCACTTAGTCTTTGGCATTTAACCAAAGTAGACTTTTAAAATACTGAGGGCAGGGGACAGAGCTCAGTTGGTAGAGAGCTTGCCTCGCATGCATAAGGCCCTGGGTTCAGTCCCCAGCACGACACACACACACACACACACACACACACACACACACACACACACGATCTTTAAGGTTTTATTTTTAGTTGAGCTTGAATGCCTTTGGATGAGAGCAGTCTCTTCCAGTTCACCTTACTGTTTCCAGTGTTTAGAAGTGTGACCCTGGAGGTGGTCAAAGTCTTGCTTACTTATCTGGCACTGCAGATTCGACCCAGGGGTGCTGTATCATCAACCACGTCCCCAGCCCTTTTAATTTTTTATTTTGAGACAGGGCCTCGCTCAATTGCTGAGGCTGTCCTCCAGCTTGCAGTCCTCCTGCCTTAGCCTCCTGTGTGCTGTGACCACAGGTGTACACTGCCACGCCCGGCAACAAACTTTTTTTAAAAAATATTTATTTATTTTTTAGTTTTTGGCCAACACAACATCTTTGTTTGTATGTGGTGCTGAGGATCGAACCCAGGCCGCACGCATGCCAGGCGAGTGCGCTACCCGCTTGAGCCACATCCCCAGCCCCCGGCAACAAAGTTTTAACGCTGGAATAGTTTTCACTTCTGTACAGTGAATACAGAGAGGACCTCCTGCCCCACGCACTTCCCAGTGTTCATTTCTGTTTTTCTGTGCCAGAGTCCTGTCCGGGAACCGCAGGGCCTTTGGTTATTCTGTCTCCCAGTTTCTGTGGCCGTGACTGTTTCTGTTCTTCTCTGTTCTTCATGACCATGACAGTTTGGGGAGTATTGATGAGGGATGTCCCTCAAATTTGGGTTGTATGATTTGTTTTGTTTGGGGTACGGGGAATTGAACCCAGGGGTGCTTTACCACTGAGCCATGACCCCAGCCCTTTTTATT